ACCATCTCCAGATGTTGCAAGTTGAAAAAGGGTTTCTTCTTCTTCTTCTTCCTTCACAACAAGGAAATCTGCATTGAAGTTTGATAGGAGCACCAAAGGGGCAGTTCCCAGTAGTGAAGGGGGTGGCTCTTTCTTATCATTTTGGCTTTGGACTGGAGATATAATTGCCAGAGGGGGAATTTGCCTGGGCCAAGGAACCTGAGCCAAGGTGAGCAGGGGCTGTACAGGCTCTATCCAATTAAGGGACACGTGTATTTGTCTATCTTATTTTAATATGGAGAAAGCTCATCCCAACAGAACGGACAGCTCTTGATGCTGCTAGCTTCCTCCAGCCTCTCTGATTAATGAGCTTTCTAGCTCTCAGGCAGCAGCAGTTAGACGCTATTCAGAGGAAACATGATTTTTCCCAAGGATAAGAATAACTTAATTTGACGAATAAATAAATAAAAAATAAAGTACTGGGAGCAGGATAGAACAGGGGGTAGGGGTGGTATTTTTGCTGTGGATTTAATGGAGAATTTTAAAATACACTGTGAAGACAGAGAGCTGGACTCAAACTACCCAGTCCTGATCAGTAAGACTCTGGTTCTGCCTTCAGTGTGTAGTATTTAGATGTAGAGCATCAAATCAGGGAGTTCAAGGCTTTATTTCCAGGGCTGAGCCCAGCAGGGCAGACTTCACCTAGAGAAGATATTGACAGTATATCCAGAAATTCAGTAATAAATATATCAAAATATTAGGGCTTATTTTAGGCCAATAAATGCTATTTTTTTCTGTTTACAGTGCATCATTCTTTTCTGGCAAAATCATAGTCATCCCTTTTTCTGTTGCCTCCCAGCTAAAAAAAAACCTCAATCATTTTGTGACCTTTGTTGGCCTAATTAAAATGGGACCCTAATAAACATGTTGTATGTAGACACCCAGAGCTGCCTTGGCCGAAACGGGTAACTGTAGAAATTTGTTAAATAAGTAAATAATATGGACTTTTCAACTCCTTCACTTGCTATCTCGGTCTTAGAAGCACCACGCAGAGATCTCCTGCACATTATGTAGCCCATGGAGGAGGGCTAGTTACTTATAAAACACCTCAGGGGCATGCATGTTTCCCTGCAGCTCATCAGAGAAAGCTTCTTTCATGAAGACATGAAAATTAGAAACAGCTTGATCAAAGTCACTTGTGGACACGGGAGAAGAAGGAAACAGTGTGGCATTACATGGTAGAAAGGCAGGTATCCCATGCCACGTCCAAACTAGAGAAGACAATAAATTTATGTCAGTGCATCCCTAAACATTTTGCTCTACTATTGTAATGGAAGTTCTGAAACAAGGAAGCATAACTCAAGGCTTTACATCTATTTGGCTCCATGAAGCTTTTAGCTAATAATACCAAACATTAAAATCTGACTATCCTCCACTTGTGAATCTATTTATCTCTTTTTTTAAAAAAAGTATTCCACAGTAACTTTATCTTAATCCTCAAGAATCACTTTTCACAGCTCTTTAAATAATCGTTTCACTCACCTGCCACAAATGTTTACATGCGTTACTATATTCTTTATATAACATGTGCTTATACGCATTTGTATGATGCAGGCCTGTGTTACATTCCTAAAAAAATATTCTTCCACAGCACTGTGTAGTTGTTAAAAGCGTTACCTAGTTGAAGTGGAATTTCCTTATTCCTGTGAAAATGGAGTAGGGGACACATGTTAGTTATGAAACACTCCAAAGTAGAGAGACAGCCAAAAAGAAAATAACCAAGTGCCATGTTCTACCCTCTAATTGTTTTTCCCTGGGAAAAACAACCAATTCTGATATGCATATTTCTACATAATGTGGAAAGCCCTTGATTTAAACCTCATCTTGGATAATACTGATCTAATATCCTGGACTCTGCAAAAAATTTGGAGGATGTTATATATGCAGTGCTCTGATTTTCAACAAACAGTTCTCAGTAATCATTAAATAGAAGAACTATTTTTAGTTACTAAAACCGACAACTAATTCACACATTATCTCCCTCCTAATCCACGGGTCTAAAATCTCCACAGCTCTTTTTGTTTTACACAATTATGTCTTACTTTCACCCTGGTTGCAAAAGTGGATTGTAATGAACAATAACGTTCTCAAAATCAAATTGAATCAAACTTTATTATGGTCATAAACCAGCATAAGGAATGGGAAGGTAATATAATTAATACAAGAAGGTGTACGAGCAAAAAGGTTGTGAAAAGTGTAGGAGGCATAAGAGATGACATCAAAAAGAAAATGAACTAAACGTTCAAAAGCGGCTATTCCATTAAACGTTCTGTGGTGCCAGACCTTATAGCTGAGTGCTAATTGGGAGCCAGAAGTCATTGCTCTGCTGCCCGGAGCCTAACAAGATTGCATGCTGTGCTTGGATTGATGCCTGAAAGCAGCAGGCAGTTTATCCATAGAATATTGTATATCACACCAAAGCACACAAGAATAGAAAGCCCTTGTCTTCAAAGAGGAAAAGCTGAGCCTGCGCTGCAACTACTGAGAAGGCTCTGGCATCTTCCAATCAAATGCAGACCAGCCATAGAGCGTGGCCTTCAGTTTTAAAATCACTTTGGGTTCAAGCTGAAGAGGGCAAAAGGAAAAATACAAAGCATATGTAGAAAAAAAAAATTGTAAAACACGAGCAAATCAGTAGCTTTCATGCGTGGAAGAGAAAAATGCATCAAGGTATAGACAGTATTGCATTACAGACTCAAAGGATTTGTGCTTTGGAAATTGGTTTGTGAAACGGCCACGCAGGTATTCACACACAGAATGCTCAGGTCAAACCGTTGAGTTAGACTTTCTATGGCTGAAAAAAATCGTATTTATGCATTGCCATTTAATCATATCAGAGAAGGCCCAGTTATTTCTATAGTGACTGAAGGATCACCAAGTGCTCTGGATTTATGCTATTCTTGCCTGTATCAGTGGATGCTGGTTTCACTATAGGTTCAAATTATTGTGACCCACTTAGTGGATTCATTGTGATCAATAGTGATCTACAAATGCCTTAAATTAATTTACTAGATGAGTACGTTGTTTCCATGAGCTGTGAAGGGGAAGGAGCAAGAATTATTAGTCACAGGTACTCCTTTTCTTACTAAAACAGAACTGGATTAATCACATCCTGACAATTTTGGAAAGGTGCTGTTGCCTTCTAGGACAAGGGGATGTTTTGCATGCTCCCAGCTTTCTGGTTGTCCTTTTCCATCTCTCAGAGAATACTGGAGAATGGGAAATTCTAGTGTCTGGCAGGAAGTTGCTTCCTCCAAGGTGCCAACTCTAAGCCAAGGGCTTTTTGCTTCACGGGGTAAGTGGAGCAGCCCCCTCTTAATCCAAGCAGAGCTCTGGCAGTATCTGGTGCCAAAAGTTTGGCCTGTTGTTGCAAGGTACCCAGCAAAGAATAGCTTGTTTGTCTGGAGCACTGCAGTCCCATTCAGAAGCCCTTTAACCAGATTAGAGAAGGATTGAAGGCATTAGTTCATGAGTGTCTTGGAGTTTATTCTATATGAACACAGGGCATTGCCCAACAGCCCATGGGAACCCAGCATAGCTTTCCAGCCAGGAAGTCTGATTCTGGGCACATGGGGGATTTTGTCAGCCACGGGAAGGGGGCTCTTGGGTTAGGAGACAACAAGGCCTGAAAAGCCAGGCATCCCTGGAGGGTGTTAATGATTAACTGCCTTTTGAGTCCTGACTGGACCGTGCCAGGAGCTGTAAACAAGCCAGAGCAGTGCTGGCACATTCTCCCTCATCCCTCCCTATTTTCTTGGACAGGGACTGGGGGGAAGGTGGGGGTGGGGGAGAGATACCAGCTGAATCAGGAGGAGAGAGAGTCGCTGCTTCTGGCTTGAATGCAAGGCCTGTCAGTGGGATGGAATGCAGAGAACAGTGTCCACGAGATCAGGACTGAGAGGCCATCCAATCCCCTGTGCTCAGCAGACCTCAGCCCCTCCGTCTTGGTAGCCCAAGGAACATAACCTTGCTTTCCCATGCACGCTGTTACATTTGACCTTACTAACATGCAAGCACTCAGGCACATGGGCTTTGGGTGTCATCCTCTTATTGCTAGCGTACCCAGAGATTGCATAGCTATACTACCCTCTGCTGGTTCCCCCAAACAGCACAGTTCCTGTATATCCCTCACATAACTTCCTCTTTAATCCCCAGACCTGTCTCTAATGCATTTTATTTTCTATGCCCTCTGTCCATAGACAGAGAATTTACCATGCACACATCACACAACTAACTTACCGTCCAGAGCACTGCAATTCTTCCGCTCCCTGGCAAGGGGAACGTGTCAGTCAATACTGCAGGCCAAGGTGCCTTTCCAGGAAAATTGAGGTGGCCGTCCTGGTTCCAGATGTGCTTTTAGTCATGGGGTCCATTGCTGGATCCTCTGTAAAGAAAACTTCCAGCTTTATTTGTTTATATGTACTCTTTTACTTGGCTGCACATTATTCTTTGGCAAACGTGCGCTCGTCTGTGAGTGAGGTATGTAAGTCTCTGCAAGGCGAGACCACACTAGGGTTCTGAGGCAACATAGTCCTTGTGCTTGCAACTCTAAGCACTCCGCGGTGGAACCAAATCCAGCTCAGAAATAACTCCCCTTCCCCCAACGGGCTCCAATTGCAATGGCTGGCATCCAAAGCAGCCCCCTAAGTTGGGCGTCCTCCACTCCCTCTGGCTCCAGTGTGGGAGGCCCCAGCACCAACCAGAGAGAGTCAAAACACTAGTAAGTCCTTAATATCTAACCTGGGAGGAGGCTCAGCAGCCATGTTTATTCCTGACAGGTTCCTTTCAATCCATGATTTGCTGGCACTAGATTGACTATCTGGATGTAGCCCAGCAAACCCTGTCTCCGCCTGCGTCATCAACCTTGGAGACACGCTCCTGAAGCTTGGAACTAACACTTGAGCAGCGAGGAGCACGCAAGCATAAGTAACTTTGCTTTCCCCCTTCCTATTTCTTTGCAGGACACTTGATAAAACAGCAGTAGGACATCTTGTAGGATACCAACAGCTCCAGGAGCATCCCTATGCAGTTCTGCAGCCCTCCAGAGGGATGTCCCAGTCACACCTTCTCGGAATCCTACTTGCACTGGTGCTCTGCCTTCAGGTAAGGATTCCTCCTTCTTTTCTGGCTGTTTCAGATCAAACACACAAACATCAAGCAGGCCGGTCCACCTTTTTTTTTTCTTTTCCTCAGGGAGCTTCTGCCCAGGTTATGGAATATGTATATGAATATGTATATGAAAGTTGGAAGGCCTACAGTGAAGAATGTCATCGCAATATGAGCCTTTGGCCACCATCTACTGGTGAGACAAGGTCCCCCTGGAGATTGACTATCAGTGACAATTTATCTGAACAAGGACAATGAAATAGGGGCAAGCATTGACAGTTTGTCAGAGTGTTTACTGATTTTCTTCCAGCTTATTCTGTTAGAATCATATGCTTTTGAAAGCTGGGATCCTATGCTTTTTTATAACATCCTGAAAACTATTATGCAAGAAGTTTGAAAACTGGAGGAATGGGGAAAGACATCCTAGAAATAGTATAATGCAACTTAGCAGACTACTTTTTTACTTGAGAGTGATGCATTCATGAATGTACAGACACACACAAATGGTTTCAAGGCTGAGTTTTATGAATGAAGTACAAGGCAGGAACTACTAGGCAAGCATATAGGTTTCACACATGAATAAAGCAGGGGGAATGATCTCACAGATATATCTTCAGTACAGCTTATTTGAGTCAAGTCTAGTGAAATCCCCCAAAGAGTTTATTGGATAAAATATTTTAGGTCCACAAGATAGATGCAAGACAAAAGATATAGTCATGGAAATAGAATAAAATATAAAAATAAGGGGGAAAAAACCCATACATATAATTGCTGTACCCATCTTTGTATTTTCTTCTCTTCTCTAGACTTGGTTTGTAACCGAACCTTTGATAAGTATTCATGCTGGCCTGATGCACAACTCAACAGCACTGTCAACGTTTCCTGCCCCTGGTACCTGCCCTGGTATGATCAAGGTACAGTATTTGTACTAGGGAGATGATGGCATTGCACCATATCTTTAGCAGGGAAAATGGACAGTGTGTATCTAGACAATGTGTGTGGTGATTATAATGTCTCAGGACTGGGGAAACCCTTTCACTTCCACTGCAGCCAAGAAAGCTCATTGGGTAATTGAAATAAACCAACCTACTATCCTACCTTGACTAACACAGAGAGATACAATAAGAAGATATGATGTACTGTATTCTTCTATTATATAAGCCTGTAAGGTAGTAAAAAATTCAATGATATATGTCAACTTTCAGCCTTAGAGATGGCCATATATTAGTCAATATGCTTACATATTGTCTATAATTCACAGTGGGGAAAATGAATGATAGATTATGCCATTATTATTTCAAAGCTCTAGAAAGTCTTTTAATGTTTTATTTATTTAGGTTTTGTTACCTATTATTTGAGATACTTCCATAAAATTTAGTAGATTTAATGTAGTTTATCAATTTTAAAATATAATTTAAAAGCTTACACACACAGTGTTTTGATTCTGAATGAAAAGAGGATCATAAAACTAATAGAAAATAAGGGAAATGGTAAGTGAATGTGTAAAAGATTAGCCTAATTTTCTGGGGAAAGGTGAAAGGAAAGTCAAAGGGTGCCAGAATTTAAATTTAGAACAGACATTAGAACCAACAATGGATGATTAAAGCTCAGAACAGGTAGACATTCTCTATGAAGTCAGATATATTTATAATAATGTTCCTCTTTATTCCTGTAGTGAAGCATGGCTATGTATTCAAGAAATGTGGTCCAGATGGACAGTGGGTGACTGGTCCTGGAGGGAAGTCACTGCGCAATGCTGATCAATGTATGATAGACAACAAGAAAGACCAGGTTAGCAGAGATCTAATTAAGTTCTATTAATTTCTACAAGATCATCTTTTTTTGGCTTCCAATAGACAAAGGATCTGAATTGGTTTTGTGCATTCAGACGAACTCTTTTCCTCTTCTCTCCCCCCCTCCCCCTCCCAGGAGTGGTTTGATAGAATCTACGGAAGCTTCAGAGTGATGTACACGGTGGGCTACTCAGTGTCCCTCTGCGCTCTGCTTCTGGCCTTGGCTGTGTTGCTAGGCTTCAGGTGATTTGGAAACTGGATCGGGCCTGGAGATGGTGGGGTGGTTGACCCTTGCAGAGTTGGAATGAGGTGGATTCCTTCAAAGTGGGAGGAGAAAAGAAAGGGGAGGGGGTTAGTAGAGGTCACAGGCCTACTATTAGTGCCGCCAGGACCCCACTCAGCATGAGCAGAAGGGGCCCTCAAGCAAAACAAGCGTGGATTGTCTTATTCTGAAATATATATTATCCTCTACTGAGGGAAGCCCTCGTCTTTAAGTCCAACCTCTAAAATTTCTAGTTTAATCGCTCCTGATTAAAACACTGATGGGGAGTTGAGATCAAAACATCTTCAAGTTACCAAAATTGAGAAAGTCATGACTAAAAGGACATTTAACCCTAGTCCATCTCATCCCACTTTGGGCACAACTTGGGAGAAGATGCACTGGAGTAGACACACCTAGCTAGTCTGGAGAGACTGGGTTTTCTTTAGAGCTGTTAATGTGAGAGGTTGCCGCAAGGGGTTGAAGAGAATGATAAAATTTCAAAACTGATGAATGGAGTGAAGGGGCAAAAAAAGGGAATGGGAGGAGCAGTGGCCCAGTGGGGGTGAAGGTTTGGGCAGAGAAGTGCAGCGTGACCTGAGCCAGATAGACAGGCATTTTTGACACGCTCCCTGCTCTCCAGCAAGCTGCACTGCATGCGCAACTACATCCACATGAACCTCTTCGCCTCCTTCATCCTGAAGGGTGTCTCAGTGCTCACCATCGACACGCTGCTCCACACTCGCTACAGTGAGAAGGTTGATGACTACAACGTGAGCCTTTGGCAGAGTGACAAGGTAACAGCACCCTCTTTTATAGTCCCTTGTTCATGTTATTTTCTCCCGTTTCCTGTTTCCAGCTACACTGTAAGGCTTCCAACCAACCAACACCCACCTGTATATGTACAGATCCAATAAACAGGGGTTTCTGAACATTGTGATAGTGCAACCCCCTCAAGTGATAAATGAACTTCTGTGACACCCCTGCCATCATGAATTAGGATGGACAAGTAATTAATATGTCTAAATAATTTATGTACATGGAATTACATGTTTTTATAAGTAGACTTGGTGGTTCCTCCGTATCACTAGAAGTTCTCAGGTTTCAAGAACCATAGGGGCCCACTGCAGGCTCACAATGGGGGATAAAAGCCTGACTGAGTTTTGACAGTGCTGCTACCCCTTCAGTTTTTAAATAAATTGTGACACTCTACCTCCCCTCCACACTTCCTGAAGATCCTTGTGTGTCTCTGAGAGGTCCCAACCTCCAGTCTAAGAATCTCCATTTTATGCCCATCATTCTGCTATTTTACGGTCTCAGCTTTTCTGTCCCCATGCCCAAACAACCAAGGACCGTTGAAAAGTTTGGGGATGGTTTAGAATAACTTAGTGGGAAAGAACATTTTTAGGCCAGCTGAAACTTACATTCAGTTTCTCTACCGCATAGTGCTACATATCATAACCTTCACATCAGGATGCTGTATTGTGTTTTACTTATGTAACTGCTGAAGATAAGATCCTTGTGGAAGCTCATCCTGGAGCTAGACTTTGATTCAAAGTGAGCCATGCTATAGAATCTCCATTCAATGATTTAGTGTTTGTACTTCCTACATTTACTTGGTGAGGAACACCTGATCCTCTGGAAGATTCTGAACTGCATTTCCCAGCAGCTCCTGTCAGCGATTCTCCTTTGGCAACATCTGGAAAGTCACACATTACCCATTTTGTAATCCTGGATATAGGGAATAGCATTGTTAGCTCTCTTCAAACGATTTCTATCAACTAACAACTGCAACCCACAATTCAAGGAAGGGCTGCTGATACATTGCCCAGAAAGCTCTGAACCTTGTAAAAGTGACAAAAGAGTGTTTCATCCTTTTCTTTGTTCCTCCAAGACTCCACAGGCTGCCCCACTGCTAGTTTTTTAACCATAAGCCAATGTTCCTCAGTCTTAGTGACTTTAAGATGTGTGGACTTCAACCCCAAGATCTAAGACCACCCCCATCCACATAGACAGGCAAGCCACCACCAGAATATATAAACTGACAGCCCTCCTTACTAGCCCTGTTACGTAGTTAGGATAATGAAATGCCTGCAAGGAAACAAGCAAGCTCAGGCGGCTATGGAGATTCTCAAGCACTGATGAAGCTTCTTGGACGAGAAGCCAAACATCTTCAAAGAAAAATCAGAAAGTCCAGTTACCTCTTGAAAAAGCACCTTTGGAACAACTATGTCCTGGATGACTGAGAATCTCCATAGACGTTTAGTGATTCGCTTTGGCAGAGCTGAAGAAACTTCTTAGATGAGAAGCAAAACGTCTTCAAAGAAAGATGTGAAAGTTCAGTTGCCTCTTGAAAAAGCATCTGGGACAAGCAAGCTCAGAGTGCACCAAGGACCCCTAACTTCAAGATTTCCCAGCCCACAGGTATGAAGTCCATACATTATAAAATTTCCAAGGTTGAGAAACTCTGCCTTCAGGCATCAACACAAGAGCTACTTGGCTTGGACAAAAATACTTCCCAACCCAGAAACCTGTCATTTACAGCAACATTTTATTTTTATTTTATTTATTTTGATTTGTCAATCGCTTACAAGATAATAGGTATAAATATAAACATAGTTATGAGTACATGGATGCATATAAGAAAAATAAAAGAAACAATAGGACAGGGACGGTAGGCACGTTGGTGTGCTTATGCACGCCCCCTACAGACCTCTTAGGAAAGGGGTGAGGTCAATAGTAGAGAGTTTAAGGTTAAAGTTTTAGGGATTATCCTTCTTCCTGACTCCTTCCTTTCTCCAGGTAGCAGCAGGGTGCCAGGCAGCCACAGTGTTTATGCAGTATGGTATTGTGGCCAACTATTGCTGGCTGCTCGTCGAGGGGATTTATCTGTACAACTTGCTGGTGTTGACTGTCTTCTCTGAACGCAGCTATTTCACCCTCTATCTCTGCATTGGCTGGGGTGAGTACAGGATGGGGAGTTGAGTGTTTGGCATAGAGCGAGTGAAACAGTTAGGATTATGAGAATAGCCAAGCTGTATGGATTTATGGACCCAGACTGCTCCTTTGGTTCCACTGGCAGTTAGGTTTAGATCCAGCGGTATCTTCCTCTGGACAAACGAAGAGGGGCGGTGGTTTCTATTGATAATAACAACTGCAGTCAGCAACCTCCAGAAGTTCACACATTGCCTTCTCATTGCAGTCTCCCACTTACCATTTCCCACACTGTTCAGGAGGGTCCAGTTACTCTCCAGAACACCTCTTCCGAGGAAAGGAAGCATTGTGGAAAATCTCTTCCTGTGTCTTCTTTTTGTGGGAATGTCCTGTGGTCTGTCCATGGGGAGTCTCTGGATCCAAGGCTGAATGTGTTTTTGTAGGTTCAGTTCAGCTCAGCCCTTTTACCTGCAAGTGGGAAAGATGCTGTCATTCTGCTCTGTAAATGAAAAACTGATGCTCTTTGCAAGCTTTCCAAAAGATCAAGATGTTTAGTTGTGTAGCAGAGGTGTTTTAAAAACAATTGAATAAGTATTGCTTGATTTAAAAAAAATGCATATATTGAAGCATCGACATCCTACCTGAAATTCTAACTTTTGTTCCTGTCCTTCTAAGTCTCATCTAAATAGCTTGTGCTTTTACAATGCTATTTCTCTTTATTGACCATGTCAACTGTGACTAAGGAGAATTGGAGTTCTTGGAGAACCTTACATTGCCCACGTCTGATTTGAAGCATATATAATGAGCAAGTCAGGAAAAGTTAGATGGTCTCAATAAAAACAGAATCTGAGAAACATGAAAATAAATTAGTTGTGGTCCCAATTGTACAAGCAGAAATTCTGCATTGGCTTTTAACATGTTAATTGCCTGCATGAAGGCCTAACTCAGATCAGGATTAGGACTTGAAGATTAGGGAGTTTGATCACTATGTACCTATAGAGGTCCCAATCCAGATGTTATTTGTACTGGGGCAATTGCCATTGAAACAGATAAGTATCTGTGTGACTTCAACAAACTGAATGAGAAAACCTAAAAGTTTGACAACTTGCCTCCCTCATATCTATATTTTAGGAATTACAGGAGATATATATTGGGTGGAATCTAGAATATTAACTTCTGCACTGACTTTTTGGCTGTGTTGAAAAGATGATCATTTCTTGCATAATTCTGTTCCCTTTTTTCCTTCCAGGAGCCCCAATCCTCTTCATTGTGCCATGGGTGGTGGTCAAATATCTTTACGAAAATATTCAGTAAGTTTCAAAAAAAAAAAAAAAGCCACAAAAATGCAGTACCACACATGTAGATGGTGCACAAGCTGGCTACGGTTTTTCTGTAGCCCCAGTATTACCAGGTGCTTTAGGAAGTGCCACTCACATGAGATTTGGAAATGTATGGTCAAGGAAATCGTACCATACAATATATGAGCAGCAGGAAAGATTGCTGAAGAATAAGAATCTGTTCCCATTTTCTTTCTTTTTCTTTCTTTCTTCATCCCTCCCCCAGTTGTTGGAGTACCAATAATAATATGGGCTTCTGGTGGATCCTGCGTTTCCCTGTATTCTTAGCCATTTTGGTAAGTCCCCCTTTTTTCTTTTCTTTGTTGAAACCTTGGGAGCTAAATGCTCTGTTCAAAACTGCATTATTTTCTTGTTTTCAGCTGTGTTCTTTATATGTTCTTTTAACCAATTAAGGGCAGCAGTGGGGGGGACTGTGTACAGTATTTACCTGTGAGCTGTGAAGAAGTTTCATTTTTCCCTCCTGTCTTTAGTTACATTTTAAAAAATTATGCATCTCAGGATGGCTTCCAATAATCAATCAACCAACAAATAAAGTTAGATTAATTTTATTGTCACTTTGAATGTATACTAATCGGCATATATTAAAATGAAATTTTGTTGTATACAGCTCTCAAAGGGTCACCACCTCCAATATACACTACATAAACATGACAAAATAAATACTGATAGATACAAAATTATGCATATACCCACATGTATTATATGACACGGAGAAACAACACAGTCTAGTTTGGATGTAATACAGTATTGTGAAGCTCAAATCACTGCTTATTACAAATAAACAGCTGAAATTTCAAATATTCCCCCCCAAAAAACAAAAAACAAAACCCAGTTTAGGCCTTCAAAAAAATTATGTTATATTCTAAAACTCTTCTTTCGGGATAGAAAAAAAACCTGTTTAAAAGATGTCCCCTATCTTGCGCTGGAATTGCGCTAAGGGAGGACCCACAGATGAGCCACAGCCTGCCAAATACATGTGGCCCATATTGACCTCAATGGATAGGCACATAAAGAAGGAAACATAAGGGGTATGCTGATGGAATGAACCTCCTGGCCCATCTGTAGGTAGTCCTCCACTTACAGCCGTTCATTTAGCAACCGTTCAAAGTTACAACAGTACTGAAAAAAAGTGACTGGCAACTGGACCTCCTGCTTGCAATTGTCAGGGGCAGTAGGCTGCCATTTGTACACCACTCAGAGTGCCATAAATTAAAGCACTTATGTAAGTCTAAATGCTATCGTTACTGCTACAATGACCTTTACAAGATCTCCACAATCATGTAATCACGATTCCAGCACTTGGCAACCATCATCTATTTACTCTGGTTGCAGCATCATGGGATCACCACTTGTGATCTTTCCAGCCAGCTTCCAACCAGTGAAGTCAATGAGGCCAGATTTGCTTACTGACTGCATAGTTCACTTTTGCAACTGGAGTGATTTGCTTAACAACCGTCATAAAATTAGGCGCAACTCACTTAACAATTGCCTTGCTTAGCAATGGAAATTCAGATCCTACTGGTAGTTGTGGTCATAAATTGAGGACTATCTTTAGTCCTGCAGTTAGTTTTCACAGACTTTTCTGCAAAAAGAAAGCTCCGTGGTTGTGCAGCAGATGGCCTTCCAAGGGAACCACACGGTCATCAAGGCTAATAGCCTTTGATCCCACGACTTCCATAAATTGGTCCAATCCTTATTTGAAACCAACCCAGCTGATAGCCAGCTGCCCATCTCAGAACTGAATTGGAGTGATATGCATAAAGTGACCTCTGGGGGTTCCCTTCCATTTATACATCGTATACTGGATTCGTGGGTTTTATTCTATCCATTTTGATCATATGGTCTTCAAATGTTCAGATTGCAATCAAGTTGATTTTTGTACCGAGCAGACTTTTTCTCATTTCATTTCCTGTGTATAATAATAATGCCCAGTGTACATATAAGCATGTATATTTGGAAATGGGGTGGGGGAATAACTTGATCCCAATTGTTTACTTGTAAAAGGAATATAACTAGGGCTGTATAACACTTTGGATTAGAATGGAACAGTGCATTGCAGGGGAATAGATGAACCTTTTTGGGGAATCACACAACTGCCCTCCAGAAGTGATATTCAGCCAGTTCAGACCGGTTCTGGTGTACCAGTATCGGAAATTTTGACTAGTTTTAGAGAACTGGCAAATACCACCTCCGACTGGCCCCGCTCACCTGCACCTGCTGTTACCTCTCCTATATTCCCTTGTTTTTTAGCTCAGCTGATTCGCACGGCAGAGTGGATTGCCGCACTTCAGCTGAGCTAAGAAACAGCTCAGCTCACCAGCATTTGGACAGAAGTTGGTCTTTGAGCCCGGCACGCATGTGTGTGTATAGAACCACTTATAGAACTGGTCAGAAAACATTTGGAAACCCACCTTGTTGCCCTCCATAACTGCAACGTGATCCTGCAAAAAGATACAATAGTTTAAGATACTTTGATTTAAGAGGCTAGCAGCTGGTATTACATGAGCAGCTCTGCATACTCCAAAAGGCTACACAGCCTTAACTGAAACCAATTAGGAAACATAGTCCTGCGATCCTGGAACTATACTGTGGTCTGAGCACCAGGTCCTCATCCACATTTGAGTGACCGCTTATGTGAAGCAGCTGAAGATTTTGACTTGTCTGATGTGATAACTTAACAAGAGTTATTATTTTATGAGTGCCACACTAGCACACCACTTATTTTTGAAAAAATACCAGAGGTTCTCCAGGAATGAACATACATTTTCTTGTGAGTTGCAGAATCAAGTGTGTCTATAGCACTTTTCTTAAATCCTTATGTCCCAACATATGATTAATAAAAGACTTCTCTGCCTGACAGCCTGACAGTCTGTCTACCTATGAACGGTCAGTGAAATATTTTCTCTAGGAAATCTTATAGCACTAATTAAGGATAGAAATGATCAGGACAGAAGCTACAAAACAGTCATTGTAAATTTGGGAAGAGTGAGAAAATCAAAACTATAATATTATTTAAGAATCCTCTAGATCTTTACTACGCATGGTTCTCTGGTCAACTCATGCAATGCTATCCCTCCCTGCCACTCAGTCACTCTGCTTTTTCTTTCTTTCAGATTAATTTCTTCATTTTCATCCGTATAATTCAGATCTTGGTCTCTAAGCTCCGTGCCCACCAGATGCGATACACAGACTACAAGTTTCGGTACTGGCTCTTCTTGGTATTTCCCTCTTGAAAAAAAGAGCTTTTTTTTTTCACCCTCCCTATTATATCTTTGGCTTTCTAGGTCAGGGCAATTCCTTCTAACTGGGTAGGGTTTGGAGTCTGCACCATGAACTATATGTTTCTAAAATAGCTATCATATACATTAAGACTATAGCCCTTGCCAACTTTTGGTTGACTGCCTATAAAAGTTTACTCTGAGTATAAATTTGCATGTAAAAATGTTTAATGTGACAAAAAGAAGAAACTATTAAATGAAGGGGAAGCGATCTCAGTAACGATACTAAATTCACATCATGTCAAATTCAAATTCCGTTTTGAATCTGCGTAGTTTCTGGGAGTGTGCAGTTCCTGAAGCACTTCAATAAGACTGAATGTAGTGCTTGTCTCCACCACAAACAATGGTGCGCCTCTTTCCTACACATCTGTTTTTCCTTACGATGAACCCTAATCACCTGCTGTTCATTTAGGCTGGCGAAATCAACCCTGACTCTGATTCCTTTGCTGGGCATCCATGAGATGGTTTTTGCCTTTGTTATTGATGAGCAAGCCCAGGGCACTCTGCGCTTTGTCAAGCTGTTCTTTGACCTCTTTCTTGGCTCTTTTCAGGTGAGACACAAGAACTGTACTAATATATGGGCTCTTCCATATCTTCCATATAATTTTATTATTGGAAATTATTATTACAATGTTGGTAACTACCCTTCTGTATCCCTAGGGAATGCTTGTGGCCATTCTCTACTGCTTTGTGAACAAAGAGGTGAGTCTTAAACAAAGAAATATGGGAGCCAGGCTTTGCCCCTTGTGGCTAAATTATGAGAGGTCCAGAATTTCAAGCTGCAATCATTTGAATGATGGTGGAGCTAAGTACAATGTCCTTTTGAGTTTCAGTGGTCTACTCATCGAGAAGCAATTAAGGGCAGCTATAACTATAGTTTTCAGTTCACACATCCATATGTGGTTGTATCACAGAACTGGTATTTTAGTTGCCAAATCTAACATACTGTTTGGATTTAAAATGTTACTTGTAGTTGTAGATGCCTTATACTGTACATCAAATTATTTGAAGTCATTTTTTTCATTGGCAAGAGCCAGCATCCTTTCCCCCTTTTACACTTCCATACTCTGTCCTATGCTGGAAATAGAGGTGTAGGGTTGTATAAGGAAATCAGGATGCTACAAATAATGGTACCAAAAGGGCAACAAAGCCAACTTTTTGTGGTATGTCCTCCCTATAGGTACAGTCAGAACTCACCAAAAAATGGTCACGCTGGAAACTTGGTCGGGACATAGAAGAAGAGTATAAACACACATACAGCAACACCCCCAATGCCCGTAACGGGAGGAGCAGCAGCACCTGCGAGAAGCACAGACTGGTTGGCAAATACGTCAATGGTCTCAGCTGCAGCCAAGGAACTATACATACTAGCACGCAGTATTTGGAGAGGACCCGCTGCAGCATCAGTGAAAATCCAGTTGTGCATGAACTACCTCCTTGCTATGAATTTCCTGACATGAGGGGAGAGAGCAACATCTAAAGTAGTTGCCTCCAGCAAATTGGGCCCATTGATTCTTTTCTCATCAGACAGCCATATTGCAACGCAAGGATGACACAGCTGAGAGTCCAGGAGACACTGTGTGGGACGTGTGATTGGAAACTGACCAATGGACTGAAATCTCAGTGTCTGGTTGTGTCCTCTCTGAGATAGGGAGGCATATCCTGATGAGACTCCTGTCCTCCTTGTCTGCATTCATAGTATTCCATGGATTAACTCCATTGTAGGTGAGCGGAAAGGAACAAGTCAGGGATAGCCCAGGTATGGGTCTGGGAGAGTTATAGGCTAAAGGTTGGAGATGACATTAAGTGGATTTTGGATGGAAAGAGAATCTGTACAGTAGCTAGGACATCTGAAATTCTACAGTTTAGACATTGCACCTTGATTGGTGCTGATCAAACTGAGAATCTCAGAAACCTTTCTAGCTCTGTTTTTATAAAGAACAAGCTGAAAATGCATCAGCAGTATTTGCTAAAAGATAAACAAATGGAGCAGAAGGGGCTGTGCAATTTTTTAAAAATTAGTCATAAGGGAGTGTATTCAGAATTACTGCCTATTCCCTAACATGCTATATCCTGATGGAAAATTCTGCCAAAAAGGTCTTGGAAACCAAGTCATCAGCAAAGCATGCAAAGTTATATAATTGTTCAGTATAGCTAAATATTTTATTTCCAAGTTTAGTTATTGCAGAATTTGGGTTTGAGCACAAGAGCTCCAAAGTCCTTCTTGAAAATCTTTTTGCCTCTGGAGTGGTAGCGCCTTAGGAATAAGGACCATGCTTCTTGAAAAAGATATGGTATTCAACAGAGGTGGTCTCCATCTGTAGAATTAGGGGCATAATTTGTCCTCCTGAGCATCTGGGTGATTTCAGGAAGTCACTTAGTAACGCTGTAATGGCCCTCTTAACTGGAGGTTAGAAATGAGAATTAGAGGATTCTGGGCAGCAAAATGCTGTTATCCTACACTTAACCACAACCACAATCCAAAACAGCCTGAACATAAATTTGGCCATTTTGCTGTCAGCTGCTCACTTGGGTTATCAGATAATTTGCACATTGTTTTGTGGTAGGTGACAGTGTGGTACCCAAAGTGTTGCCTGTGATCTTAAGTAGGCAGCATCTGAAGATATTATTGACCATCTTTATGGCTGTGCCATTACATCTGTGCTGTGGAAACACTTATTCCATTTGTTCCCAGGATGACTCTGCCCTGAATGATTCTGTAAATTGATTTTTTGCTGAGGGCTGCCTCCGTGTCTGTGATGTCAGTGCCAATGTTCCGGAGATCAAACCCTCAATAAACGGTGTTATGTGTCTTGGCAACTTGGACAGTTTCTCCTGATGCACATCACAGCTCATCTTACTTAAGGACTGGGCTACACAACAGTTACTAACATGGACAGGAACAGCTGTCCTGCACTGGTCACATTAACCTTCATAGGAAAGTTATGTGACAGGTTTAAATTAGAACCATTGCAACAGACAGGTAATTATTGCCCTCTATGATTATGCAATGGCTCCTTCAAAGCCTAAGATTCTGTCTCCCCAGAATAGGCATGGAAGAATTCCTCTGGCATTTCCAGGGGCATTGAAACATTTTGATCCAGACAACCCTAAGAAAAAGCACACAGATTCTTGAAGTTAGTCATGGAGCAATGCATCATAGTCTGCCTGTTTATTTTTAAAATTGGTATGTGCACAAAAAAAAATGTTGCTTCTGATCATGAACAGCCACAGAATAACTTCATGCATGCCCATCCTTATGATCCCTTAAAAATCCTTCGATTGTAACACAATATGAATAAAACAGAAATTTCTGTAGTTGAGCTGCCACAACTCACCAGACTATTTAATGACTTTGTGTTTGGGGGCAAACCAGCTCAGGTTGTTAGTTTAAGGTTCAGTGTGTTGTGTTAATCTTCAGAATTGGGATAATTTCATAAATTGTAACTAACTTGACCACGGCTGCATGTGTTGTATGAATTCAAGACTTCAAATGTGACCTCAAATTTTCCATCACCTACTTCCAATGATTCTCACCTGCGTTTTTTCCTGTATTCCCCTGACCCAAATTTTCCTGCCATGGATGTACCAAAGAGTTTCCTGTCATAGACTTGCTGCTCATTCTTAGAAAAATCTCTGTTGCTAGTAACTAGTTTCAGCAATCTCCATTACAGACATTATTAAATCCACGTTAGCAGAAATATCGTTTTCATACAGGGGAAGGCTTCCAGTCATTAGTATGTGAGACTTCCAGTAATAGAAGCAGTAGGACTTGTGATGCTCATTGCTGGAGGACATGAATGGGAAATGCCAGTGTGCTAATGTTCCATTTGCAGAATCCCAATTGCATCTGATAGGAACATTGAACTAAATAGGACTTTTGGTCTGGTGTGTCGTATCTCTTCTTACCTACAAGTCTTCTCACAGCAGTGGAAGAAAATAGGAAAAATGAGGGAAGTATTGGAGCAAAAAGGAAAAGGTGAATCACATCTACATACATGGAGTTATCCTGGAAAGGAACAGCTGCGTTTCATTCCAAGCCATACATGTACTGTCTGACTTCGGCAAAATAATTCTCATCCAATGACTGCTTTAGGAATCCAACAGTTTTAATACTTGAACCAGGAGGAAAAGCTTATCTAGTAAATGCACCAGTTTTGTAGAGGCCATTGTGCTGTTATGTAAGTATAACCCAATCATGCCAAAAATGCTCAGAGTAGGATCTTCAATCTAAAGTATTAGACAATCATATAGGTTGGTTGGTCCAGACTGCACTTGTCCATGTGTGAAACGGTCAAGCCTGGCTGAGTTCCCAATAGTTTCGTTGTGAATCCTTTACCTGCTTGGTCCCCACTCCATAAGTAAACTTCCCCCAACTTCCCAGATGTGCTACCTACAATTCCCATTATCTCTAGCAAGCACAATCAATCCCCATGACAGCTGGAACTTTATGAGAGTTGCAAATCCAGTCTAGTTTGAAGTTACCAGATTGGAGGAAATTGCCTCAAAGAAAATATTAGCAGGCTGAGGGAAGAGAAGTGAAATAGAAGTAGCTGAAGGTCATCTCCGATTTTCTCTGTAAGTTCGTGACAGGTCATTAGTTTGATTTCATTTGATTTCAGCTTCTACCTCAATACGTAGCCAGAGGCTATTGTTTTGAGTTCAGCATTGCTTCTTGAATAAACTACTGTTAAGGTGAAGGGCTAAAATAAATTCTGAGGCTACATTTTCAGCTGTGACCTTTCTGCCTAGTAATGCCTCTTCTAACAATGTGGTTTTTTTTCAACTATGCAAGAGATGGAGACTACAAGTCTAGAGACTCAAAGGGAAAGTTGAATGCAAAATGAGGAGGAAGGAAAAAACAACAACACAGGGCTGTTTACCAGGAAGTTATTGTTTCTCTACCTGCTAACACCCTACAAGGTCAAGGGCAATGGAACGTAAGCTCAGAGGCCACAGCAGCCTTTGATAAGTACAGTCAGAGCCCCTATCTATTCCTCTCCCCAAGGGAGCTGCTGCCTTTACCAGACACCTGGGGGCAGCCCAAGATAATGAGCCTAATTGAAGCAAATTGCTGGAACACAAAGGCACTTTATGAGAAGGTAAATATGGCTGACAATCCATGCATATGACGTGTGTGTCTTTCTAACACTTACAGATATCTCACTTATTTTTACAACCCGATAGCAAAACACACAAGTGCACCTGTCCTCTGAAAGAGATTTTGCTCTTCTCACGACCCTAGTATTCTATTCCATTTACTCTGTTCCCCCCTCAAATCCTCCCATCAAACTAAAATAACCCTTAATTTCAGCCTTCATTCTTTACTAGTTATGGGTCTATATGTCTTTGGAAAATTAACATTCCTCATGTCAGTGGCCTTAAGGAACATGATGATGCTTAGAATCAGTATGTGTCAAAAATAATAGCTGTTCTTGCCTAATGTTCTGGCTCTATTCAACTTACATTGATGAATCATTAAGTTTAATGAAGAAGGTAGATTTTAAAAAACACAGATGCTTGGAATCATTTGATTTTCCATATGATTATTTTTAAAAAAAACATGTTTTGTGATCATATAAACATAAGACATGAAATTTACCTGCCTTGTCTAATCCATCTGCCCTCCTTCCATGAGTTATGCCATTGTCACAAATCCAGTCATTTTTGTAATTCAAACCACTAAAGATTGCTACTGCTAGTGCAGAGAAAAGGGGATAGTACAGGGGACTTGTGATTGTAAACATTCACTCCTGCATAAGCAGAAAACTTCGGCTTAGTAATTGCCTATTTGGCAAATAAATGATCACATCACCTCATAGTATCACTGTTACTTACAAGCCCATTTTCATAGGGAGCACTCTATTAGCTCCAGAGTGGATTGCTCATGAGCTGGGAAATGTATGTGTGCAACTACCTAATGCTGCATCTGTAAAATGCTTCCTCTCCAAGATCACAGACTGCTCACCTATGCTTATTCACAATTAATTTGTGCAGATTTTGAATGTTGGTGATAATAGCAATAGCACTCAGACATATACTGCCCATAGTATTTAACAGCGCACTCTGGGTGGTGTACAACGTCACCATATTGCCCCCAACAATCTAGTTCCTCATTTTACTGACCTTGGAAGGATGGAAGGATGAGTCAACCTTGAGTGTCAGTCAGGATTGAACCTATATTCTAACCACTGCGTCACCACGGCTTAATGGAGCCAGAGTCAGAGTCAGCCAGAACAGAGTCTTATCTGCTTCCCACCAGGTAACTTGTGCCTGCCAAGGAACTGAGATCCCTCTGTGATCAGCACCATTCCAGTCATCCTGTACATCCTGTGACTATAGAAGTCCCCCCTTTGGCAAATGACACAAGGTACTGCCCTTTATTGTGAAAAATAATTGTTGCTTATGGACCTCCAACCTTGAGCTAGGGTATAAAGGGCCAAACATCCTGGTGGAGTAAATAGCACAATTGTACCCATGGACCCCCTATGTGCAGATATTTTCCCCTTTGCACAGTGTAGAACCAATTAAATGGGTCTACAGAGATTCTCCGTCATTCAGGTCATGGTTGTCCCAAAGGTGCTATTTCAAGAGGCAACTGGACTTTTTGGTTTTTCTTTCACTTCTCATCCAAGACATTTCTTGAAAAAGCACCCTTGGGACAATGAAATGGGTCTCTTGTGGCTGGAAAGGCTTGAGTTGTTTGTTTCGGAAGTAACAGGGAGACTCCTTCTTGCTTAAAAATCTGTGCTGACCAATTGGCCCCCATCTTCACCGGAATCTTCAACAGATCACTAGAGATGTGCTATGTTCCTTCCTGCTTCAAAAACTTTACTATCACCCCAGTGCCAAAGAAGCCCTCCCTCAGGGAACTAAATGACTACAGACCAGTTGCTCTAACATATATAGTTATGAAAACCTTTGAAAGGCTAGTGCTGTCCCTCCTGGAAACCATCACGGATCCGCTGTTAGATCCCATACAGTTTGCATACCGAGCAAATAGATTGACAGATGATGCTGTTAATATGGCTCTGCACTACATCCTACAATACCTTGATCTCCAAATACCTACGTAATGGTCCTCTTTGTAGACTTCAGTTCAGCATTCAATACCATCATTCCAGACACTCTTCTAAGTAAATTAAACCAACTAGCGGTACCTGAACACACTTGTAAGTGGATCATAAGCTTCCTAACAGACAGGAAGCAGCAGGTGAAACTAGGCAGAATCACATCTGATACCTGTACAATTAACACACACACACACACACACCAAGGCTGTGTGCTTTCTCCACTTCTCTTCTCCCTATATACCAATGACTGAATCTCAAATGATACATCTGTTAAAATACTGAAGTTTGCAAATGATACAACAGTGATTGGTCTCATTCGAGTAAACAACGAATCCGCATACAGACGGGAGGTTGTACAACTTGCCTCGTGCTATAACTGGAAGAATCTGGAACTGAATGCAATCAAAACTGTAGAAAAGGTGGTAGACTTTAGAAGAAACCCTCCCATGCTACCATCTCTTACAATACTAGACTACACAGTATCAACAGTAGAGACCTTCAAATTTCTAGGTTCTATCATATCACAAGACCTAAAATGGACACCTAACATCAAAAACGTCATCAAAAAAGCACAACAAAGAATGTTCTTTCTGCACCAACTCAGAAAGCTCAAACTGCTCAAGGAGCTGCTGATACAGTTCTACAGAGGAATTATTGAGCCTGTCATCTGTACCTCTATAACTGTCTGGTTTGGTTCTGCAACCCAACAAGACAGACACCTACTTCAGAGGATAATTAGAATTGCAGAAAAAACAATTACTACCAACCTGCCTTCCATCGAGGACCTGTATACTGCACGAGTCAAAAAGAGGGCTGTGAAAATATTTACGGACATAAATGGTTTCAGCTCCTACCCTTAAAATGACACTATAGAGCACTGCACACCAGAACAACTAGACACAAGGACAGTTTTTCTCCAAATGCCATCACTCTGCTAAACAAATAATTCCCTCAACACTGTCAACTATTTACAAAGCCTGCACTACTATTACTATTAATCTTCTCACCACTCCTTATCACCCATCCCCTCCCACTTGTGACTGTATGACTGTAACTTTGACACTTGTATCCTTATGATTTATATTGACTGTTTCCTAGTATGATTTGATTGCTTATTGTACCCTATGACTATCATTAAGTGTTGTACCTCATGATTCTTGACTCTTGACAAATGTATCTTTTCTCTTATGTACACTGTATATGTATACACAGTATAAAGAGAGGAATAAGCCTGGACTCATTACATTCCCACAAGTGGTTTAAGTCTAACCCTTCTTGAATCCTGTTAACTCTTATCTAGCACCAATATAGTGTTCACTATCTAATTGACTAGATTCTTATGTATAGGCATGAGCAATAAATTAGTTTAACTGGAGCTTATCATGTCCTGATTGCTTGCATCTGGCAGTTTATGGGATATAGAAAGTGTTAAATGAGAGGAGGGAAAGGACCTCAACTTCCATCCTTTCTTTGAGAACCTTTGAGCCACAATCACGATACTTTGACTAAAACTACATATCATGTCTTTTTCCTTAAAACAGTTCAAGCAACTTAGCAAAGGGGTGGGACAATATAATCCCTGGCTGCAGGATTGCTGCCAAACTGGCATAGCTACCATAGGATTAAGGCTCTAGGGATCAGCCTTAGACAACAGCACTCTGTTTATGTTTTTTACATTAGCTCCCCTGAATCTTACCCACCTGACTAATCCAAAACTGTATGGATAGTACATGTGTGACTTCTCTTGCTCATTTTGAATGGATTTTTTTTTTGGTAAAGCTGTATAAACCATTAACCCCAACATATTTACAAATATATAAAGACCGTATACTTATACCCACCCAAACCCTGAACATTTCAGCACAACCACTCTCATCCATAACATCTCTACTCATTGCCTCCTTCTGACACAAAAATGCTCAACCAAAAGAATAGTTCCCACCTTGGTTTAGAGACCTATAATGTTTACTGGAACACCTAACACACTTCTAGAGGATGAAACGGCAGACTGAAGATGGGTCCTCAAAAAAATGGAGCTGGCAACAGCAGTGAAGAATGAAGAGCCAGTAAGTGGACCAGCTCTTTGAATCTCTCCAAACAAAAAGAGGACGTGAGATTGCCCAGAAGTGCTCCAGACAGTTTCTCTTCATGAGATGACCACAAAATACTAGTCTTCAATCGGTTTTGATCACTGGGAAAAGAGGAAATAGCTCAAACTGCAGGTGGAGCCTTTAAAAGGACACTGAGCATATATTCCCTTTTCTAATCACATTCTGAAACATGGAGTCAAATGTTGATTTCAACAACGTCAATAGCTTCTGTGGATGGAAGTTTGTATTTTCAGACCTCCACTTTTTTTTAATGTAGCCTTACGGTAAAGTAGAATTAGTTCATCTAATTATTTCCTGTCTGGTAATAAAGGGAGGGCTGACATAAACCAAGAGCATAGCCAGTATATATTATCAAATACTCTGTGTTTCTTTGATGGCAATAGTTCTTTAGGACCATGGGGGAAGGGTTCCTTCTTTTTTGGTCAGCAGTCTACTATCCTCAGTGCTAATATATATATATATTAAGATGGTTTAAACATTTTTCTGCAGAAATCGTGGGACTTTTTCTTTTTTAATGCAAAATCTGAGTTATGAAAGACTTCCTCTGATGCTAGCTAATATATCACTGTTTGATTTTCACAGTCTTAAATATGTGAATCTTGAAATTGGTGGAAGTATAAATATTATGGAAAATATTACACATAATAAATCCTGTACTTAGAAGTTTGCTGTTTCTGACTTTCAGCTTTTTTCTCTAGGACTTTCTACCATTGTGATACTACCAGTAGCCACTAATGGTAGCAAATATTTTTCTGCCCTTTGCAGAAGGAAATGAGTCAGTAAAACAGAATCAAAAGTGCCAAACTCAAATGAATCATTTAAGAAGTAATAAAATCTTTAAAAAAATAAAAGTCATCTAAACTTATTTTAAAATCCTTTATTCTGTAATACAAACTGCAACTGTCATAATATCTATATCTGTACTTCCTTGTCAAAAGATGTTAGAAACTAGTTCAAACATAATTCAGTTTAAAAGACAAGAAACGAAGGAATAAACATAATGTAAAGTAATGAGGGGAAAACTAACAATGAAGTTGGATATTACAGTATGTGATGTACTCAAAATGATGGCTCAGAGTTTGACATACAGGAAAGCAATTTATATATTTTTGGTATTTTCTGGGAAAAGGGAAGAAGTTATCAGTTGCAGCAGAAGTCATCTGACCACTTCAAACCAAAAATCTGCATGTTTGATAATGTGCAAAACTATATCTATCTATCTATCTATCTATCTATCTATCTATCTATCTATCTATCTATCTATCTATCTATC